ATTATTTTATATATATATATATATATATATATATATATATATATATATATATATATATATATATATATATATATATATATGATGAATAGAAAATTAAAAACAGTCTTTACTGTCACTTTTGATTACTGACCCCAAATTTTTGAAGAGTATATCTTTAATTTCTCATACATTTTAAACAGGTTAAGCACAATGTGTTGTGAATTGTAGTAAAAATGTGTCTAATTCCAGCTACTGATAACTCAAATATGGAAGCTCAGTGCAGTTTGGAGTGCAATTATCTGACTTTTCATGATTATGTGGACCTTCTGTGGACCACCTTAGCAGAATTTCCAGGTGACATGAAGTCTTTCTCTCCTCTCATGTTGCTGTTTTTAGTTAATCAACCTAAATGCAAACATTGTTATATGAGCTACATATAAACTAATAGACAACTGTGTGATTTGTGTCTTGATGTCAGAACAGGTATTCTGGTCACCCTGTGGATGATTGATCGAATTGGCCGGGAGAAAAGCAATGTCAATTTGTTTTTTATTGTTCTCTGTGTCTATTTTGCCACTGTATGCCTGTACACAAAGTTAAATTCATAAAGTCATCAAAAAAAACCCTGTACAGATTCTAATAAGGATGCAAAAATCAACTTTGTAATTGCAAAAGTAAGAAAAAGAAGTGCCTAAATATTTTTAAGCCACAGTAAATGACATAACATGTTTATCTTTTACTTTACAATTTCCAGGACAGTTCTCACAGTCTTTATTTTCATTGCTCGAGCCTGTATAACTGGGGGCTGGCAGGTTGCATATGTTTATACACCTGAGTTGAAGCTTTCTTGCAAAGCGGCTTATTGTGCTTCAGTCAATCCCAGTGGAATTTTCATTTAAAATGCGATTTTCCTTTTTTCTGGTCTTGGCCTCCTCAGGTTTTCCCCACAGCAACCAGAGCTATTGGTATTGGTACAGGCAGCGGGATGGCTCGTGTTGGAACTCTCATCACACCATTTATTGCTCAGGTAAAGCATTCCTCCGGTTTCATAAGAAGATTAAGGTGTATTGATGCTTTCCTGTATGTGTGTTTGTGTCTGTATCCCTTCAGGTCCTTCTGAAGTCATCGGTTTACCTGACTCTCTCTGTGTATTTAATATGTTGCTTGCTGGGCACAGTGGCATCCTTTGTATTGCCCATGGAAACAACAGGGCGGAGCCTCCAGGAATCAACGCAAAGCACCATGGAACAAAAAAACACGGAAAGGCCGCATGGCTCTGAGACAGCCGAGTCCTCCAGCAACACGTGTCCTTAACAGCACATGGAAAACTGAATCTGTGAGATCTTCGGATTAATAGTGGAGAAGGCCATAATGTATAATCATGCCATACCTGTATATACCGAATGTTATGTAAATGCATTCTAAAGTACATTTTTAAATAAATAGTTAATTTCTTTGTATATATTATGCACATAAAATATTGTAATTAATTTTACATTAAGCTGTTTATGATGCCAAGAACTTGTCAAACTATTTTGTTGGGTCTTTCAGTTACACAAGTATCGATTTCTCTCCTTTATTGATGTTTTTCCAATGAACTCTACATGCACGCATACTGTCAGTGTTTTTCTCCTAAAATCTCAGTGCTACACAAGCGTCTGGTATAGTACTGGCCTGACAGCAAACTATGGTAGTATCAAACGCTTTCTGACATATTTCTAATAACTGTCAATCACAACTAATTATTATATAACTATAGTAAACACTATTGACTTATATTAAAACAAAGTTTTAACGAGTTCGAGAAGCTCTAAATATGTTAAGCATAAAAGTGGATTGTATCAACATTGCTTTGCCCTGTTGTGTGACATTTCCTCAAGATTTAATTGTATGCTTCATTTTCTCACAATTTCCCAAATGCCAATAGACTGCAGTTGTGACAGCAGTCATAAATCACGATTTGCTACTTGCTGATTGACTGCAGGGGGAGGGACATTCTTGCTCTAGAGAGAATTTGATTGGACAAATGTTTGTAGTGCAAGATGAGTCATCAATATTTTGTATTTAATTTTTCTAGGTAGAGACAAAATGAGCATACTATAGAACAAGCCCACATTAATTGGAACGAATTTAAAATGTGTATATCAGCTACATTTAAAAATGGTCAACAACAGCTAACACACGTGTGCCTGGGTAACACACGTTTGTTTGTTTATTTTTCTCCTAGAGTATTTAACCAGGGGTTGAATTTGCATTACAAAACACACACACTCAGCTCCATTTTTGGTTGCTGAACCATACAAATTTGTCGTCGTCACAGGGAGGAAGGACAAATCTAGCGATCAAGCTACATCATAAGGGCTCAAGTAGTATGTGGATGATTGGGTGTTGAGTCTGCATAGGATGCACTGTTGTCAGGGAGAAGTGCAAGTCACCTTCACGCGGTTGGCCCACAAGCCCCTATCTAACGCAGACGATCACAGAACTACACCAACCACGGACGGCGGTCCCGAAACAAGGTCCATAATGTCTGGCCACTAAATCAACGGTCCAGCCGGGAAGATAGAGCACAGACCGTGTTTATTGGCATCGCTGGCGTGAATGAGAATTTGCCGAATCGCTGAGTTGGATGACAAAGCCGATGATGGTTTTATCGCTCCACTAAATTAGATTTAATGCGCCTCTGAATGCATTAACCCCGTCACTGGCGGGTGCTGAACGGGATATCTCGGCGTGTCCTATTCGGACCGGAGCGCCTGTGAGGTTTCCCTGAACGCTTTGCAGCGTTTGCAGCCATGGCTCTGGTGACTCTGCAGCGCTCCCCTACACCCAGCGCCGCATCCTCAGCCAGCACCAACGCGGGGGAGGTGAGTGGAGGCTGACCGGCGGGGGAAATGCTGGGGATGCATGTGTAAATAACGCTTAAACAGCTAATATTAACCGGGCCTGTGGCTCGAGGATAGTTTCTCCTTTCTAATGACGTGCGAATCTGATACTATAAGAAGTCACCGAGTTCAGCCTGCTGTGTAGACGAGCGCACGCTGAAGTTTTCACATTAACGATGAGGAGGCTGTTTTTTCAGGCAGTGTGTATGAGAGAGCGCGAGTGATGCTGGGGATTAACTCGACTTGCCCAAACAAAACAAAACATGCCAGTGCTGAATTGTTGTTGAAATGTTCAAATATATTTGTGTATGTGGTTGAAATATGTGATAATTATTTTACTTTAGTGGATGTAGGTGCATGGTGCAATTATTATTTCACTGTTTATCCTACCTACCCTACATTCAATAACAGTATCTTATTTGTGTGTGCTGAGGATAAAGTGGTCATAAATCGACTGCCTTGTATATTTAACGCAGTATCAATTTAGCCATACCACAGATATGCTTACACCGGGTTCTTAGTAATATGATAGCCTACTTGACCAATTGAGCGTTTGGCAGTTCTCACTATGTACGATTCGTGAACGAACCTCATTATTTGTACAACGAGTCGAATCTCTTCAAAGAATCGGTTGAACTGATTCATAAAAGCTGCCTTAAATTGATTACGAAACGGACTGAATCTGTCAGAATGGTTATCGAGTAAACGCCTCATTAAACCGAGAAATCTCTGTTCGGGCATGTGCTCACTGATAATGAGCTGAAAGTTGTGTAAAATTAAGTGCATCTATATTATGAATGATATAGCTAAAAGTTAGGCTACTTTATTTATGGAGTTAGTTGAAATGTGAAAAATTAAACATATTGGAATGTTTACGGTTTTATGAGGGGTTTATTATCAGCACACATGCGATACTGAGTGGGTTAGATAACATTTCGTTAAACTCATGCAAAAACGTTTTTAAACAAAAGGGGTAAATTATTTTTCATACTGTTTATTATGAATGCAAATTCTATGTATTTTCTAAATGACTTTGTTAGCTAAATCATGACTTCACCTGACTGAACTGGGGCACATCAAATTATAATAAACATCCTTAAATGCCGTGCGTGTCAGGGACCACGATTCCATGACCTAATACAGTGGTAGCTACCCCCAGCCCTGCACATTTTGTATGTCTCCCTCATCTATCATACCTGATTCAATTCTTCAGCTCATTAGTGGAGACTGCAAGACCTGAAGTGGGTGTGTCAGATATAGGGAGACATACAAAATGTGGAGTGTTGGGGGTACTTCATGGAGAGGTTTGAGAACCACTGACCTAATAGAATAGCTGAATCTTTTTTTTTATAACCGGTTCTTTGAAACGAACTGATCGAAAGAACCGAGTCTTCCCTTCACTACTCTCAGTACACTCACTGCAATGATGTCATTGAATAGATACTCTGCCTGGTGACCAATCATGGGACCCAGAATATTGTCATGTCTACCCCCCCCCACAGATTTTGCTATTCAGGCTTCTTAGAGACAGGCCACTTATGAGCTAGCCTACTATAACATAAGCCCACAGTAATGTTCATCCCTGAGGCTTTCATTTTTTAATGTGCCCTAAATCTATCCAAAGTATTTTTGTTTTGCTTAAGCATAAAATGTTTCTGCTTACTATTTAAAGAATTCCGTTTTGGGCTTACATTTCTGAATCTGTCTCATCAAACAGTCTGGTGTTAATGGCTTTGTATCTCTAAACCATAATTAGAGAGATCCAGAATTGATTGATATATGCAAAGTAATTTCATACAGTATACAGTTTCTACCAGGGCCCTTTGTAATTCCACTTCTGCTGTTTTATTTGTCAGGATTTAGGCAGTGATGATGATCGAAAGGCAAACCTAAGGTCAGTGCTATTTTTATTCATCTTATTTAATCCATTCATCCTTTTTTAACTATGATAAAAATCTTAATTTTGGAGTGTCTTCATAATTGTGTGTGTGGCCTATTTCAGCCTGAGTGAAAGTTTCTTCATGGTAAAAGGGGCAGCTCTGTTTTTACAGCAAGGCAGCAGTGCACAAGGGCCCAGAACACCCACCCATCATAAAAATGCAGGTAATCCACTACAAGGTCATAACCATGATCAATTTTGTGAGTGTGAAGAATTTGAAGAAATTAAATAATTAAGTATTCAAGGAAATAAAGTATTTTGCATCACTAGATATTACTGTCAGTTGTTTAAAATTTCTGTCGTAAAACAGTTGTCAAATATTAAATGTTTGGCTGCTTTCATCTTCACACTTTTTCACAGTTAAAAGTGAAGATTTTGCTTTCTGTGAACAGCTAAGCCTCTCTTTTTAAATTGATTAGCCATCTCAGTCATTTAGTCATTGATCAATGCTGTTAGAACGTTGAGGGGAAAACACCTTGAAAATGTCTTTTTGTCATGGTAACAACAAACAGAACAGTGTGTAATGGAGTGCAGCAGAAGAGCATCAAGAATATCAAATATTGGTGTGAGCAATTTGGCCATTTCTAATTATTGGGGGGTATTTGATCATCTGTACCTGGTAAAGCTTCCTTCAAGATTTCTCTGCCATCCATGTTTGATTCTTGTTTGCTTACCTAAAAAGAGATGCACATAGTGTTAGTTCACTGATAGGGCTGGGGGGGAAACCTGCATGCTTGCACGAATGCATTGCCCAGCTTTCTCAAACGATTTTGGATTAATCCACAAAAAATTAATCCTTCTGGTTATTGAAAACAGCAAAACATTACAGATAAGTTCACAAATGGTAAGAAGGGCCAATTTGCAGCATTTGCACTATGTAAAAAAAAAACACGCATGGGAGTCTGCAGATAAGATTAACTTTAAAGATCAAAAAGGCTGGCTAACAATTTTTTTTCATTATTTTACTTAATTTTATATTTTATTTAAAAACATTTTTAATGCAGTATTTAATGACCTAAATCATAATTGTAGTACACTTGCTCTAAACATGATCATTCTTAGTCGCATCCACTGAAAACAAGATCCCATTAAGTTTACAACAAAATTACATGGTTATCGACAGGAGCTTTAAGACTCTGAAACAAATAAAGCTATGGTTGTTGTACATCTCATTAATTGCAGGGCTCAGAATGGAATGCATCCAACTTGGAGGAGCTTCAAGACTCTGGGTTAGTGCTGTTATACATCGACCGACTGTGCATTGAGTTAAAATTATATGTGTATTTAACACAAATCAGCAGTCTAACATCTGTTTATGTTTATGCAGGGTTGGGTATATCCTCAATGTCACAAAAGAGATTGACAACTTTTTCCCAGGTACCTTTTGTTATTGTAATGTCCGAGTTTATGATGATGAGACTACAGATCTGCTGGCACACTGGAACGAAACCTACAACTTCATAGTTAAAGCCAAGTGAGTTACTTTTCATGTTTAGAAAGATACTAGAAATGTGTGTTGTTGTTCCTGTTTCACTCAGTAAAGCTGTTTGTACCCTTATGTTTTGACAAAAGATTTTTTTGACATGGGTGCCTTGTATGTCTTTCATATAGGAAAAACAACTCTAAATGCCTTGTACATTGCAAGATGGGAGTGAGTCGCTCAGCATCCACCGTCATTGCTTATGCTATGAAGGAGTATGGATGGTCACTTGAGAAGGCTTACAGTTTTGTCAAACAGAAGAGGAATATAGCACAACCCAATCCAGCTTTTATGAAACAACTTGCTGAGTACGAGGGGATTTTAGATGCCAGGTGGGAAATACCAAGATAATTAGACACGTTCTTTTTGACATCATATATAGCATTCTTTTTGACATCATATATAGCATTCTTCTTCCATTTGCATTCACATTTATATTTATTCATTTAGCATACACAGTTTATTCAGAGCATCTTACTTTTTCATTTGTACATTTCTTAATCATTGTGAATAATGTGAAAAGACCAGCTTTAGAACAGCATGAATTTTCAGGTCCAGGCTGGTTTATGCTGGTTTGGTGCTAGCGAAGCTGGTCCACTAGCATGGTCTTTCTAGTGAAAATTAACTGAACAACAAAGACTTGGTGGGGACATAAACATAAAAAACTCAACTGTTTCTTGTGACCACATAGTCTAAAGCAGGGGGTGTCCTGCAGAGTTTAGCTCTAACTTGCCTCAACACACCTGCCTGGTATTTTCCACTATGCCTAGTAAGAGCTTGATTAGCTGCTTCAGGTGTGTTTAATTAGGGTTGAAGTTAAACTAGGGTGACCATACGGGCCATTTTTCCCGGACGCGTCCTGGCCAGGATTTCTATATTGCTTTGATTCAAAGTACCTCGAGAGTGTTTTCGAAAACCTAAGGAACCAATGTCATACACCGATCGGTCTGCACACACAAACAAAGCCAAACCCTAGATATTTTAGGCAATATAGAAATCCTGGCCAGGATGCGTCCGAGAAAAATGGCACGTATGGTCACCCTAAGTTAAATGTTGCTGGACACTGGCCCTCCAAGACCAAGTTTGGACAGCCCTGGTCTAAAGGGACCAAACCTATCTTTTTTGCAGTTTTCTTTGACTGTATTTTCTTTTTTTCACACTTTTTTCAAGAGGTGACTGCTACCTTTGTTTCCTGTCATTTGTAGCAAGCAGAGACACAACAAACTCTGGCAACCTGATGGTGACGAGTATTCGCTTGAGGGCCTCCAGGCTTCAGCTGCCAGTGGTGACCAGACTCCTCAATTTTCGTCACTGCACCCCGATCAAGAACAGACCGCTTGGGGCCATGGTGGAGCAAGTGCTTCCCCCTGCTGTGGAGAAGAGCCGACAGACCATCTCAATTACAACTACTACTTCCGGCGACTATCAGACACCGCTCTGGACAGTGAACCCTCCACGCCAGTTCGAGGTCCTCCACTTTTAGGCATGGAACGAGTCTTTATTGAGATTGAGGATGTAGAGAGGGATGCATTGTTGGATGATGAAGGTTTCCCCATGGCTCACCTGGCCCTTCCCGGGGAGGGCACAGCAGCCCAGACCTGTGGCCGACTGGAGCCTATAGAGGACATGCGCTTGAGGCTGGAGTTTAGCACGGTGGAGGAGGAGGATGAGGAGGAAGCACAAAAGGAGGAGGCGGAGATGGCTGCCTTAGCTCGTGGCGAGGAGACGCCGAGGGAAGACGAGAGCCTGGCTAACTCGAACCGCTTTAACAACGAGAACGCCAACAACAGCAACAGGCTGGCTGGGAAACGCAGCTGCCCTTCTGGCTTTGACGTGAGTATGACGTCTTAGCTGTAGCGGCAGCTCTCCTGGCTTGTATGCAAGCTTATAGCTCAAAGAGCTCTTTTCTGTGAATCCATCCTAAACGCTTTACTTTCTCTAAAGCATCCCGTACTCTTACACCTTTAAAAAACCTAACCATGCATTCTCCCTGCCTGTGTGTATTCATCGGTTTAGGACAGTGCTAGCATTGGAAACCCCTACAAAGTGAAGCCCTCATATCAGTCGTGCCGAGACTGCCTGCGCCTGCCCAGTGGCCGCCGCTGCGAACGTCGCACCCATCGCCTTAACCTGCCACGTCACACTGGCCTGCCCAGTTTGTCCATCCAGGCCCCCAGAGGACACAAATTCAGTCCCGTCTCTGCCAATAAGGTGCCTCCTCCTGCCCCTCTGCATCACATGAGCAGCGGGCACTGCCAGTGCATTCGTTGCTTCGGTCGAGCCAACTCGGACACTTACAACAAGCAACTGAGCTGCGAAGACCTTTCTCAGGATTTGCGTCATTCCTTGGAGACTGAGGACAAAATGGAAGGGGAGGATGAGGGGAGCAAGGAATGCTCCAGTAGTCCTACAACAGAGCTCACTCTCCTGAGGCTCAGTCTGGGTGGTGAGAGGCCTACGGCGGAGCTCAGTCAGGGGGCCCCACTGGAGACGCAGCTGGTGCGCCATAGACTGGAGCAACTGTCCGGTCCTCAGTCGGAACAGATGGACTTGAGCATAGAGGACACTGCCACAGAGGACATGGAAGTGGATGATGGGAACGTCCCCAACTTGCACCCTGGTTCCAGTGAACTCCAGCAAACGCTCGCACTGGGCTCGGCCCTGACACGCAGCTCCAGCAGCGACAGTCTGCAGAGAATTCGCAGAGGCCAGCCGAGCTTGGTACGCCAGCGAGCTCGAGAGATCGAGACCCGTGTGCGGCTCACCGGATTGACCATGTCCTCCCAACTCAAAAGGTCTAATTCGCTGGCCAAGCTAGGTGACTTGGCCATCTCCACAGAGGACCTCATGCTTTCCACCACAGTCTCCATTGACTAAGACGACCAAGAGCCTGCAATCCTCTTCCTCCCCCAAGCTCTCTTTAACTCCAACTGTGTTGCAGAGTTTGAAAAGCTGACTCCAAGATGTCGGATTGACCATGTCCTCCCAACTCAAAAGGTCTAATTCGCTGGCCAAGCTAGGTGACTTGGCCATCTCCACAGAGGACCTCATGCTTTCCACCACAGTCTCCATTGACTAAGACGACCAAGAGCCTGCTCTTTGCGTGCAATCCTCTTCCTCCCCCAAGCTCTCTTTAACTCCAACTGTGTTGCAGAGTTTGAAAAGCTGACTCCAAGATGTCAGAACTGCTTTCTCAGTGAATGGGACCGATCCAGTCCTACAGCCATCGAGAGCAACCATGGAGGCCGATGCTACAAGACACCTCATGAGAACAATCAGACCAGGCTTGGACATCCTTCCAGCAGCCCTTTACATAACTGCACTGCATTCTTCATGTGTCTGTCTGTGCTTTAACTAAGATATATATATATATATATATATATATATATATATATATAT